AGATTTACGCTCCTATTTGCACACTACAGTACCAGCTCCGTTGACGGACGACGGGGTAGCGGTTGTCGATCTCCGCTCCTATCTTGCGAAGATTGACCGCGAGTACGCCACCCAAAGGTACGCCGAAACCGACGCGCCTTTGCTCTATATCCGCATTCAAATTGGAAAGGCAACCTGTAGTGCCTTGATTGATTGCGGAGCGTCTCGCAACTTTATGAGCCAAGCCTTTATGGCCCGCGCAGGTCTTGGCCCGCGAGTTCGAAGGAAGACGCAACCCATGCAAGTTTCACTTGCGGACGACCGCACACAAAGTCAATTGACCGATGCGTCGACGGCGTTCCGGTATACTTTGCGCCACTTGCGTGCGAGCGGGTGTCTTTTGACATCCTCGACACCAAGTTCGACATGATTCTAGGCATGTCTTGGTTGCGTAGCGCCGATCATCCGGTGAACTTCCATGACCGAACCGTTCACATCCGTGATCGGAACGGAGTGTTAGTCCCATGTACGGTCGCGACCCCTCACACTTCGATTGCTTGTCACGTGGTTTCCGTTACGAGAATTCACGACGCCATTGCTCGGAATGACGTCGAGGAGATTGCCCTTGTATTCTTGCATTCTCTCCCCTCGCCGGACCGACCAGCCGCGTCACCGCCGGACCCACGCATTTCTCACCTCTCGGACGAGTATAGAGACGTCTTCGAGGCTCCCACCGGAACGGTTCCGGATCGGCCCATACGTCACGAGATCACTCTCGAGGCTGGCGTCGTCCCTTCGCGTGGATGTATCTACCGCATGAGCGAAGAGGAACTCGAGGTGCTCGCGCACAACTCGATGACCTTCTCGACAAGGGCTGGATTCGCCCTAGTTGCTCGCCATACGGTACCCCTGTTCTCTTCGTCCGAAAGAAGAACAAAGATCTACGACTATGCATTGATTATCGGAAACTTAACGCACAAACCGTAAAGAACGTCGGCCCTCTCCCTCGGATTGATGATCTTCTTGAGCGGTTAGGCAGCGCGACGTTCTTCTCGAAGTTGGACTTGAAGTCAGGTTACCACCAGATTGAAATCCAACCTCAAGACCGGTACAAGACCGCATTCAAGACGCGGTACGGGCATTTTGAGTGGGTTGTCATGCCTTTTGGCCTCACCAATGCCCTCGCGACTTTCCAAGCAGCGATAAAGACTGAGTTTCGCAACTTGCTCGATCGCAGCGTCCTCATCTACCTTGATGACATCTTGGTTCACAGTAGGACATTGGACGAGCACATCGTACACCTTCACGTTGTTTTGGATCGTTTGCGATTAGCCAAGTACAAAACGAATCTCGACAAGTGCGAATTTGCCAAGCAAGAGCTTGAGTACTTGGGTCATTTTGTCACGCCGAAAGGCATTCGTCCCTTAGCGGACAAGATCCAAGCCATCGTGGATTGGCCGGAACCCCGTTGTACGACGAATGTACGCTCTTTCATGGGTTTGGCTGGATAYTATCAGCGATTCGTCGAGTCATACTCGAAAGTGGCCGCTCCTTTGTCGAGACTTCTGTCCCCGAAGGTGCCCTTCGAGTTCGACGACGCAGCCCATGACGCGTTCGCTACGTTGAAGGCAGCAATGCAAGCCGCACCTGCCCTCCGTATATATGACCCCACCCTACCCACCCAAGTGACTACGGACGCTTCGGGGTACGGTATTGGTGCATTGTTGGAACAGTGTCACGAGGACGGTTGGCATCCGGTCGAGTACTTCTCCCAAAAGGTGCCTCTCGTAAACACTCTCGACGACGCTAGGAAGAAAGAGCTACTCGGTTCGTCACCGTTCTCAAACAGTGGCGCCACTTTCTTCTCGGCCGTCGGCGTTTTAAATGGAATACGAGCAACAATCCGTTGACCTTTTACAAAACGCAGGATACGGTCACTAGCACGATCGGTCGATGGATGTATTACATCGACCAGTTCGACTTTGACCCGTGCCACATTCCCGGTCCTACCAATCGAACTGCGGACGCCCTATCATGACGGCCCAACTTTTGTGCCATTGTGACCACGACATTCAACCTCGATGACGATCTGCAGCCGCATTTCGTCAAAGGCTACAAGTCTGATCCGACTTACTCTACGTTTTACGCGGAGCTTTCATCGGATCACCCACCGGCTAGCCACTATTGGATTTTCGACGGGTTCCTTCTCCTTCACACGAGAGGAAAGGACTTGTTAGTTGTGCCCCAAGATCGCATCTTATGGACTCGTCTTCTCGGCGAATTCCACGACGCACGACTTTCGACACACCTTGGTGTGAACCGCACACTAGCATGCCTCCGCCATCGTTTTCACTGGCCCGACGTCCTTCATAACGTCACGAGGTACATTGAGTCATGTGCAGTTTGCCACCGTAACAAGGGTCGATCTCGAGTCCCCTTCGGCGAATTGAAACCGTTGCCGATCCCTCGGGCACCACGCGTCTGCATTGCTATGGACGTGACAGGCCCGTTTCCCCGTGATCGCCACGACCACGACGACATTCTCACGGTCGTTGACCGTTTGAGCAAGTATGCTCGCTTCCTTCCTTGCAAGTATCATGCTGCAGCGCCGAGCTCGCACGACTCTTGCACACTGGTTGGATTACCAACCAGGGTGTTCCGGAAGACATAGTGAGCGACCGAGATACTCGCTTCATGTCGGCCATTTGAACTTCCCTCATGGCTGAGTCCGCTACGACAATGAAGCCGATCTCGGCTCGGCTTCCACAAACGGATGGCCAGACGGAGCGAGCGCACCAGACCGCTCAGATGATGTTGCGTACGCTCATCCGTCCCGACCAGAAATATTGGGTTGACCGGCTTCCCGACATTGAGTTCGCCTATAACACTTCGGTGCACTTTGGTGCACCCGGCGAACTGCGTCATACCATTCGAGTTACATCATGGTGGAGAGAAAGCACGGATCTTCGCTGATCTTCTTTTGCCACAGGCTGCCGACATAGACGTCCCTTGCTCTCCCGCTTCCGTTCGGAAGTACCGGGACTTGCTGATCAAAGCCCGCACAAATATGCAAAAAGCTCAGATCCGCATGCAGCAGCAGGCTAACCAACGTCGACTTCCATGTCCTTTCCGCGAGGGAGACCTTGTTTGGGTCCTCTCCGAGGAATTTGCCCTCGAACAGGACGTTTCGCGCAAACTCCTTCCGAAATGGTTCGGACCATGGGAAGTCACTTCTGCCGTTGGAGACGACCCCGCAGGTCCTTCCTTCGTGATCAACATTCCACCGCACCTTCCAGTGCATCGGGTCTTCCACGCGTCGAAGCTGGCCATCTACACGCCACCTTCAGCTGACGAGTTTCCCGGATGTCGATCACAGGATCCGCCTTCTATGGACGGACATCAGGAAATTGACCAAGTCATCACGCACCGCAAGTATGGCAACAAGCCAATGCAGTTCAAGGTCACATTCAAGCAATGTGCGCCTGATGACACTAGATGGATCTCCAGTACAGATTTGCAGACTTCTGCACCCCTTATCTTCGCCGACTATGAGAAGCGACGCCTTGCTAAGGAAGCAGCTCGTCCCGCCCGACCCACCCCGGTATCTGACAAACAACTTCGCCCTCGCAGGTAGCTCGGTCTTTTAAGAGGGGGAGTGTGTTACATCTTCGACGCCACACGGGTCCTACCGGACCCGACATAGGGGTAGAGGGACACAGTACGGCCAAAGGCCCGACCTTGGGGGTACTACAGGCCGTAAAGGCCTTACCTTGGACCAGACCCGACAGGCCGGCCCAAACGATATTACCGTTTGGGCATGGCGGCGCTCTTGAGGCTGCCGCCCGCCGGTTGGGGCTGAACCGTCCATCTGGATGGTTCAAGGCACGGTCAGGCCTCGCAGCATAGAGGCCGACCTCTGCCCACCGGTACAAAAGTACCGGTCCAGCCTCAGTGAGGCTATCGACCTACCGGCATTCTACCGGTACGGTATGGTACAACGCACATTAGGGTTGGCGCTATTCTTAGCGCAGGAGCGAGGAGCAGGCAGCAGTAGGGCAGCATTAGCGCAGCAGCGGCGAGCGGAGCAGCAGCAGGGCGACTGAGCCGGATCGGCGGCCATCGCCGCCTGAGGTATCAGGGAGCCGTAGGTTCTCTCCTCCCTCCCATCATCAGTCCCCTCTCTCTCTCTCTCTCCTCCTCGACTCTCTTTTCATCTTCTTCTTCTTCTTCTTCTTCTTCTTCTTCTTCTTCTTCCTCTTCTTCTTCTTCTTCAGATGGAGACTTATACTAGTGAACAAAGATCAGTGTTGGACTTCGGTGGTATGAGACTGTGGTACTTACCGGATTGGAGACTTGGATAATGTTGGGGTTGAGACTTGGCGGCATCACAGTTCGGACACCGGTTACATTTGGACTCTGTATCTCCGACATTGGTTACCGATTGTCCTCGACATTTTGATCTTGTTGGATGACATTTTGGACTACCATATCGGTGACCTATCGGATTCCATCTTGGTGACCTACCGGTGCTGTCTACCTCCCCCCACCTCCTTCGTCTGTCCTCCCACCTTTCA